TCAATTTGCACACATTTGATCTAACTGTCGCCGTAGTAATTGTGAACTCCGTCGTAAACTTGGATTAGGGGATTTGGCCATTTGAGCGAGAAAGTCGGAGTAATCTGCATTATTTCATAAGATGTTACTCGAACATTGGTATCTTTTCTTCTAACCTCAGATCATCCGGGGACTCACACGAAAGGTATAAGAAGCAGTACCTTTGAATATGCACCCACTCACAAGCACACACATTTACACATACAATTTGTTTTGCTGTGGGATAGCAGAGTCAATAGTGGTAGAGATAGTTTGATTAACCACAGACAATGACACCGATATCTAATTCTCGCCCACCTTGTGTTATTAACCCAATTCGTTTACGGCACTTCCATCAAATACAAACCCGTGCGCACTACAAACAGTCGAACGGCTCCCCTAATCCCACAACCCGCCCCCGCGTTACATGCAAGTAATTCAACTGGTGATCTCTTTGATTCTGGTGGTGGTTTCCCTAACTACTCTTCATCCTCCATCAATAATCATCGCGCTGCCTCAACCATTGCGCCCCCCTTCATGTCTCCCTCCTCTAATTCCCTCACTTCCAACTCTTCTTCCACTTGGAATAGCAACAACGTGGGGCTGAAGGTGTTCGATCCGATGGCGAAATCTTTGGGTAACACCACACCAATAGCTACCAACAATGGTCCTGTAGCTGGTGGGGCTCGAGCCCTGGCGTCTCATTTCGAGTAAGCTCTCACAACAAGAGATGATTTTGCCTCTGCTAGTGTATTGAGGGTGACTATATTTGTGCATAAACAAAATTGCCTTTTTATTCGCAATCTCAAATTTTCTAGTCCATCTATCAATTCCATTGAATCTCATGTCTACGATCTCTTTACAATTTCAATTTTAGATTAATCCATTGTTTGCTTTCCATGCCTTATTTCTATGGCTATTGGGACAGTACTTGAGCTTTTTATGGATGTTCTAGAAGTTTTGAATATGGCTACAATGAAGTAAATGGTAGTTTTCCTCGTGTGATCTACAATATCTGGTTTTCATCAAGTATCTACTCTTAAAATGGAGTTTTGCAATGAACCGCATCCGTACGATGTAGAACTTAGCTTGGTATCCCATATTTTCTCACGTCATCACGCATTCTCTTCATTCTTGCATTCGTGTCTTGATCCTTCAAGACGAAACACAGACTCGTCGACTTTGAACATTGATTTTCAAGTTCCTGTTGGTGTAAGTTCTTTTTTAACCAAATTAATGGGCATCTTATGTTATGTTAGATCGACTTCTGCACCTGATACTTTTAATTTATCATCCTTGAGGTATTTGGCTGTTTGACTTGTTGTATCCACAATGTATGTTTTCGTCCTTCGTTGAGGGCATTCTTGTTATCTTTTCTCTTTCACATACGTTTTTTTGAAAACATCCTTTTATGGCCTTGAGTAACACCGCGTTAAAGTAGAAGCTAAGTCCGCTGTTTTAATGTTTGATCGTTGATTGACAATTCTGCTGGTTCCGATTCTTCAGTTCGGTCTAGACCTAGATGTTTAAACTTTCATCTTCAGCTACTGAGTTGCTCGTATTTATTTGGCGATCTTCTTGGCAGATTTGACAATTGGTCTGGCAAACTTTTCGGTCAAAAAGGTGAAAACCTATCGTACCAAGAATTTGCGCTTTCTCATTTCTACATCAAACGTTAAGCGGTCACTTAATTTCTTACCTACCGACGATTGTGGAGCGGGATGAAAATGAGTGTACTTTTCATCGTTAGGGTTCAACAAGTAAACATTATTTTTGAATATTCCCATCTCCATCAGTAGCCTTTAGTTCTTGAGTAATAGGGCGAGAATTGTTCTCAATAATTTGAGGCTCAAATGCTCACTTCTTTGTTCTTTATCATTATTACTGTTCAACTAGCGGAGGTCATAGGAGGGCATGTGATCACTAATTCAGCTTCTTATTTTATCTCAACTATGAAATATTTTGTAATTACTGCCTTTACGACGAATGCGTGTTGTTTGCCTTGTTTGTAATGGTTCTCCACATTTGTTGCGTGAATTTTGAAAAAACCTCCTATTTTTTTCCTTTTTTTTATATTTATTTAATTTTTGGAATATCTAATTTTTCTAGTCTCTCCCTAAATGGGTAAGTTAATATCGATTTTTCTATGTTCCCTTTCCTTTTCTCTACTAGCTGGGTCCGTGTTTAGTTGCATACTTATTAAATCTCAGTAGAGAGTTTGTTATGAGATTGCATGCTTTGCTTGGCTTTATCGTTCGTATTTTCTATATGCGCGAATAGGACTCGGGCGGCTCCACCTTCTGGACCACCAATTCCACCAAGACCGTAAGTTTTCCCTATTTAATATTGTCATAAGGCCAATATTAGCCAATAGGTTGTCATTAATTTGATGGATGATTACCTCTTCTGTTTTGATAGGAACTAAGCTGGAGGACATATATTCGCCAATTTTTCGAGGTTCGGCATCATCATCCAAATCACTACCTAGTGTCTTCGACGTTTTGAATTTAATAGACGCTAGTTCACTTTCCTACTTCTTCATACTATCAATATTCGATCTTTCACTGAAATCTATTAATTTCTCATCATTTTCAATGTTGGTGCCTTTCTAGTTGAATCCACTTTCCTCTTCCATCGATCACTTTCTCATTTCATTCCCTATGAATGTCAAATTGATTTTTACCGCTTACAGATGTCAAGCCCATATACACTCACGCTCAAATATTAAAAAGCAATTTTACGCCATTTTATTGTGTTACTCTATTGTGCCTGCAGTAGCAGTGGGCAGTTGGTATGAACATCTAATAGGAATTCAGAGTTGTCATGTACTGCAATAGTATAGATTCACACTTTGTATTGCTATTTTGGCGTGCTTAAGTCTCTTCTACTTAGCTAAACATCTCTCCAGGATAACTTGAATTTAGAATATGAACCTTGCTCTAAATGCAAATTAATGAAGGAAACATTGCCCGTCTTATTTGAGGAATCGTTTCTGGAAGACGATCCAATAGACCTAATAATGGATGTATGTTTAAAAGGAGTGCATGTTAAGTCTAACTTAGAAAAGGGCAATTAGAAAGGGGGTTGGGGTTGATGAAGTTTGTGCCATTCGTTTGCAGCAGCTCTTTCGAAACTTATATTGAATCAGGGATTAGTCTATGGAATAGAAATTGTCTTCATACTAATGACGTTAGGGTATCGAAACCTTTATTCCTAAGATAAATTCCAAACTCTTGAGGGTCATATGCTACCGAAAATAGGCAATGATAATGGGTGCTTTGCGGAGATCTGTTGGAATTGTTTAATCTTGAACAATGCAGCAACTTTACAACTATATTAACTCTTTTTGATGCCCTCCTATCACTTGCCCCAAGAATCCTCGTGGCTGACCAAATTTTCCTTAGTCTGATGGATTACGGTGACCTCTTCTGTCTCACTGTTCTATAATCTGGGTCTCCACTAAGTGGGGAATTACGGAAGAGAGATAAGTGTTGAATATGCAGGCATTTTTGCGCAGTAGGGTAATCATACATTAGCTAATGTACTACTAAAGAACTGAGTTCCAATAAATTGTAAAGAAATTTCATATGGTCTGAACGACCATTTTGTCTTCGATGCAAAATGCGAAAGTAAGTCATCTGCGTATTTCGTTTCCGAGAATATTTGATCACTTTCAGATATGCAGTTTCTGCACGCCTTAATTTATTGACCGACCTCGACATATAACGAAAAAGGGAAAATAAGAAAGCAGGATAGAGCATATACAGTAATTTTACGAATATGTATTTACCCGTCCATTCATTTACTTACGTATAGAGGAGCAAGAAAACAAGAGGGTGGTGGAAGTGTACGAAGGAGAATTAGCAGTGAATTTGTGGTGAGAAGGGGGTAAGTAGTAAAATGGGGAGTAACTGAACACAGAGTGACACAAAAACACAATAGAAGAGAAAGCTAAGAGAGATGAAAGGCATGCTGGCCCTCGTGAATTGCGTAGAGAAGCTTCTCTAACATAATTTGCTTGCTGGAGTAATTTGGAAGCTTTAAGTAATTTTGACACGTCATTACCGACGGAAGATGTTGGTCGGCGTGTTCCTCAGCCTCTCGTTTCATTACAATCTTTAAAGGCGGCTTCAAAGCTCTGAATCCTAAGGGAACAATAAAATTGTTTAGTTAGTATATAAATTTGTGCAAGAGTTAAGCAATTAAATTGGTATACCTCCAATAGGAAGACGGGGACTGCCAGTGGCGAATTGAATAAAGAGCCTTCGTTGTGCTTCATCGAATTCCGACATGATTTCAAAGAGGTATTGGATAGCAGTCGACTGATGGGTATAGCCGTGATCACAAAGACAAGATTTCATGAGAGTGTCTACATCCCAACCAACAGCCGTTGACGAAGCGTCAGAGTTCTTCGAGGTGATGAATGTCGGCACCACAGGCACAGCTCGAGAGGCGCCTCCAGTACGAAGCAATGAGAGTTGATCCCGATAGAGTCCACCAAGACTGCCTGAACCACAAAAAAGACCCTCACACTCATCTGGTCGGAATAGAGTGGCTAATTTGCCTGTTCGAACACCCGGAAGGACCGAATCAAAACCAGCAATGAGAGCAGTAACCTGACGGCGGACTCCCTCAACAAGGTACCAATTCGCTACCAGGTGCAAATATTGACTTAGAAGGTTACCAGTGACTGACATCTGACTGCCATTGCGACAAAGATCAATCTGAAAAAAACATATACATACATACATACACACATGCATATATATACATATAGCGCGTAAAAAGCAGGAAAGGAAAAACAAACTTGATATCCTGGAAGAACAAAAGTCACACAGAGGTCATCAACTTCATTGTCAATTGCGCGGATTTCTTGGTCAATGGCAGAAGCAGCAGCTTTATTTAACAACGACTCATCAACCAACTCCTTTCGTCTGCGCGAGAGCTTGAGGAGATTGTGGAAATGCTTTGCAAAGGAGGGATCTACAAGAGCTAAATCAGCTGGTGTGACGCCGACTCGTGGTCCAGAGAGAACGAGATCCTCCTCAGGATTTTGAACATATAGAAACCACTTGAAGAGAACCGGTGAGAGTGAGAGATCCAGTTGACGCCAGTCGAATAGAGCACGAGCCATCAATTGACCCAGGAAGAAGAATTTAGATCGAATTTCTCTGGACTGAGCAGAACGAAGATTTTTAGGCAAGGGTCTGGGATACAGTCCAGGTGCAGGAGCGATTATGTACCCATCAGTGGTATAATTTTCGCCATGCCAGAGATTAAGACTCGCCGTCATTAATTGATGGCTTACAAGGGTGTAGAACTCAAGCGTGGGGCCCAAACCGAAGCCAACTTCTCCCTCAAAAGCAATCTCAAGGCCGGATCGTGAATCGCGAAGATCATTCATTGCCGTTTCTGCAGCACGCAAAAGGCGCTTTGGATCTCGACTAACTACAATCTTATGTTTATTCAATTGATTAGCAGATTCAGTCAAAAGGTTCTCGAGAATGGCAGCTCCACCGTCAAAACCACCGTAGCGCACAGCAGTGAGAGCATTTCGTCCGAAGTGAGACGAAATACGATGAACGAAAGATGACCGACCATCCCGATCCCTTCGTGAACTTCCCCCGCGTGAACTACCTGTGCTTCCGGTTGCTTCACCTTCTGTTGACGAGTTCGTGATGGTATCCTACAGAATAATAGAAATTTTAGCGGAAGGTAAGATACAGAGGTTTATTGAAATGGATAACCAACCTGTAAATGAAGGATAGTTCTCTCACGATCGAAGTTGTAAACATAGAAGAAATTTTGCCGAACAGAGAATGGGAAAAGGAAGGGACAGCTTGAGATGGTTTGTACCAGCCATTTAGGAAGATTTCCAGCTAGCACGTAAAATACATCCTGTAGCTGGCGAGATGCTTTGGCCGAGAGCTTTTGGCTATGGAAATAATCCTACAAAGATAAAAGGAGAAATAGACCAGATTCGAAAAAATAATCGATAGGAGACAAGAAGTAAACTTACAGCAGGGATAATGGGATACGGTTCAACTAGATCATCCAAGGTATTTCCAAATTCGCTCAGACCATACAAAATACGCAAGAGACCTAGGTTCGCCGCCATGCAGCCTTTGTTAAGAGCACTGCATTCAGTGAGAGGTTCTAGGAAAGTAAAGAGACGCTCAACTGGAGGTGCATGTAAAGCGGAGGGTGGAGAGGCTCGAGCAGGCTCTTCAGAGCGTCTTGAACGCTTCAGACAGCTGATAGCAGCGGAAAGTGATGACGATGGTGAATGCTTAGTAACAGCACCAGAGTTTACACTAGGAGTGGGAGAAGTTGAGGTGGGAAACTGGGATTCCGCTAAGGGGTCTACAGCACTGGAAGCTGTACTCGGTTTCTCAATACGATAATGGATGGTATGGACAGTGCGCCAGATAAATGCATTGATCCTGTCCTCACGATTCTGTTCAGTCATGGAGAATCGGTGTTCAGCGAGAAGTTGTCTGGCACGTTCTTTCACCTTAATGGAGTATGTGCGAAGAGCTTGATAGAGCGGCATCCTATCAGGAATGCGAAAGCCATCAATATAGAAGACAGGCACAGGGGCGCCTGAAACGGAGACAGATTCAAAAAACTCTGCTGGCGATGTAGGATTTCCACTTAACATCATTGACGGGTGGTGGTGATGGCCTGATCGGCGATCGGGTTGAGTCTGTTGTTGTTGCGATTGATGGCGAGTAGAGTGGGGTGCAGATGAAGAGGGGGGAATCAAGGTAGCTGAAGACGATGCGCCATGTGGAGAAGACGAGAGCGGCGCTTGTGTAGAAGCATTTACAGATGGTCCAGTTGCAGAACGACTGTGGGAGGTTGAGGAATGTGCTGGGGTAGGAATATACGAAATTTCAGGCTGGTGCTGATTGGCCGTTTGCTGTAATGAAGGAAGGGCTGCTGTTGCCGTAGGGGAATTTCCAACGCCACCCACGGAACCTGGAAACTGGAGCATTCCAAAAGCAGCCAGTAAAGACATGCTTCTCGCGTGGGAATTCTAAAATGGAAAGAAAGCAGAGATCAGCTTTGGAAGTGTTTAAGCAAGTTTATCGACCATTGCAATAGGAGATGGAACACCCAATTTCAACTTGTTGAGATATCAATTACTGTCGCATAGAGTGCAATAGGTAACTCCCCCAAGGAAAAGCGAAACTGCACAACATAATCCCAGCATAAACTGAATTTAATTGAATCCAATCACACAAGATGCATTCACAAAGAGTAGCAACACAAAGCCTTAACTCCAAGACACATTTTGAAGAATAACATTTGTCTCAAATAAACAAAGATTTTGAAAGTTAGGCTTTCAAGTTTATCAGAAATAAAATTAGAATAAATAGATATCTTTCATTTTAAAGTCCCCATGAGAGAATTTGAGGTGTAATTATAATCACAACGACCAAATCTAAAGCCCATATTCAAGGTGAAGATGAAATTATACATCCACTAGAAGAAATTGAATAGCCCTACACCCGCCCACAAAGAGGCGGCGAATAAAATTTTAGGCTGGATTTCAAAAAAAGATATACAGTGAGAAATAAGTGGAAATTCAAATAAACTCATCAAGCATTTGACAGCAATGACAACTAAAAGGAATGAGTAAAACTCCCAGTATTGTTAATCCATTTCAAATGACCGATAAGCATCGATTCAAAATGATCACAATCGGTAACCCCAATTGGCAATTATCAATTCACCAGGAGGCGGTAACAGGAAATAATTTAATCGGGTGCATTTACAAAGAAACAGGGACACAAATAAAGTGATAAAGTGAAACTTTATTGATGCCCTAATTGCATTACTAAAAATGACTGTAATCAGCCCATAAATTGTATTTTCAAAAAAACTTGAATTAACGATTGACCTGGTTTTCAGGCTTCAGTATAGAAATGTTAAATGAAGTATGTAGTGCATGTCTGACTAATCGAAGACAAGAGAAAATATGCACTAGTTTCAAAGCAGAGATACCAAAAATAGGAGTTAAAGAGATTAAAATGCCAGTTCGGATGCAAAAGACATGAATTCAAAAACTAAGCAGAACTACAGAAAGCCGTAGTTTTCAAAACTGCTTAGGAACTGGCTGCGGTGCGTTCAGCTGTACCTGGAAGTATCAAGCAAAAGTGATATTCTACTTATAGCAAAATAGTAAGTGCCCAAGATAACGCATATTAGAAACGAATGGGTTGCGTCAACTGATAACCACACACATGCTATCGCTAGGCAATCGACCAAATTGCTATCTAATAGGATATGGTAACAATAATAAAAGCACATTAAAGTAGAGGAACCAACCAGTTGATGCTGTTGAAGAGAATACTAGTAAAACGAAAAAAGTATAAATTATAGTTAAAATAGAGCGATGCGAATAGCAAAAAGCAACAAGACCGAGGCAAAACGCAGCTTAGAAATACTGACCTGCAGTAACGAACATAAACCAAGTGAAAGAGAGTACTTAAAAGATAATTAAAATTGTCAAAAGGTGGCATTATTTTGAAACAAACCATTTGATCAAGAAGGCCCACAGCCTAAAAATTAGGCGATTCCGAAGTAAATGACATTTAATAATTTGTGCAATAAGAATGAGAATGTCATAGAAAGTGAAGCGACAAAGATTACAAACCTGCTCAGAAAACAGATAGTGCTGAATAAATTAAAATAAAATGGCGTACTTATTTAAAATTGGATCGAATGATGCAATAAAATAAAATCTAAAAATGCAAACCTCGGATAAAAACGCTGGACTATGATAAATCGGTTGCTGAAAAAAGAATGAATGAGTGTTAATTCAATATTACCTAATAACGACTTTTGTTACAAGGTGAAATATCAAAAAATTATCCAAATAAATACATTTGATTTCCATAAAAACTTTTGCATTGAAAGAAGTCACAAACCTGAAAAGGGGTCGGATGCTGTTATGGAAGCGAAAGAATGAACAACTACTTATAAAATACAGTAATATTATGTAGTCATAAACCGGATGCTGCCGAAGGGAAATTCCCGATTATCTCTAGTAAAAATGAGCAGATTTAAAGATCCCTTAACCTAAGTATCACAACTAAATGCATAGACTTTGCGAGTAATGTGCTGATGCAGAAAACTAATTGTATACTGCTTACAATAAAACGGTAATATAAAGGAGTGGAAGAATAGGGAATTAACCGACTATAAATGGCAATAAGATAACCAGAATTTAATTCGTATGTGCGCGAAAAACTGAAAGACAGTCTATATCTCCGAAAGCTACAAAACAATAGATATAGCGAAATAATGCCTAAACTTGATCGGTAATATCCGGAGGAATAGGTTGCCAATGGGCATGAAAGCACAACCAACAATTGATCAAAATACTTACCTACGATCAAAAAAGGCTTCACTAGAAGTATGAATGCACAAACGGGCTGCTAGGCATTGGTAAAGTAATAAACTACTTACAATTATCAGTGAAACCTAGGGCCTGGAGACTTAAAAACTAACCGATAGAGATGGCTGCAGACTCCCAATCTGCTATTGTAAAATATAAATATAACTTGGCATTAAAATTATGCTTTAGAAGATGGCATTGCTCATTTATAAGTATTTATGAAAGATCAGATCTAATAACAATACTACTATTCAAAAAATTAAAAGGTGGAACGTACCAATGGAATTTGGGGATTGTCACCCTGCTGCTGAAGCTAGTGAACATATTAAAAAAAGTAACCGAGTGAGATAGTAATATCAAGCCAGAAGTAGATTTAAAGAGAGCAAAACCACCCGAACGAGAACTAACCACTGGAGTTGCTAGATTCTCATTCTGTTGTTGATGCTAATGGAAATTTCAGAAAATCAATTGAGCAAAATACTGCTAACAATCAGCAATTAGAAAGAGAGGGTAAAATCAACCAAATGAATGCATGATCGTTGAGTCTGATAGCGATAAAAATGATATAGCAAAAATGCCAAATGACAATAGCAACATATGAATGAATATAAAGAAGAAACCAACCAACTCAGTTTGTTGATCGTCACTATGCTGCAGATGTTAAAAGGAACATAAAATTGTAAAAGAGTTAAATATTCGTAGTTACCAATATTTCTTCTTGAGAATATCTAATTATCTCAGGCACATAGTTGCCAAGACCTCAAGGCTGTTATTAAGGAGGTGGCTCATTCAAGAAGATCGCGTGTCCTCAAGTGATGAATTATAGTGATTAATCCACTTAAGTGGCACTTCACCGTGCATTGGTATATCTCCATTTTCCACAAGTAATATCCCTTCACTTTGGTCTCCTCCTTATAAATGAACTACATAAGCCCATGTGTAAGCAAACACACCACTGCAGTCGCTAACATTACCTACATAAAGGATCCCTTAAGCACACACTCTCCTTTGGGTAGCTTGGACTGTTTGAGAAGAAGCTTAATCCGGTGAAGAGTTTCTCCCTACTAGAATGGCCAAACCATCGTTAATGATGAAAACCAGATGTATTGAGGAATAGCACAAAACAAACTCTGAGGTTATAAAGATGGTACCAAAATGGCAAGCTAGTACCATGCATGAGGGTGCCCAGGAGACAAAATTCACACATAGTATTAGATAATGTAAGGCCTTCCAAATAACGTGAATATGAAATGAAAAGGTAATGAAAGAGTTGAATAATGTGCGACACTGGTTTAACTTACCTCTCTAGATCGGGCACTGAGTAGTTCACGTTCCATTGAAAGGATCTCTGTACGGACACCACTCCGAATAGAAGGAACTTCAGAGCGTTCCTGATTGGTTCTACGTCCACCACTAGCGCCGACACGGCGTCGATACGTGAGAGATGAGGGAGAGGAGAAAGATGTCAATAGACCTTCTTCAGGATCAAGAAGTAGATCACGAGAAATACCACCCTCAGGAGATTGCATAACAGAATTAATCATAATCCGTTGAATAAGTTGATTACGCAGTCGTTGAGCCGTGAGAAGAGAGGAGACTTGAAGGGAAGTAACAGGAGCCGCTCGATCCCAAATGGGAGAGGGTGAGTCTGGAAGAGATTTTTTCGAGGTGTTTGCGGTAGAAATTTCGTCCACCTGACGAATGAGATCCAATTTAACGTAACCTGGGGCCATTCCAGCAAGACGACGAGGCATGAGAGGGCGTGGAGTTGGATTGGGATCCCCTTCTTGGCCTGTGTGGGCCCTTCTGCCACCGTAACGTCGATGGGAAGGCGGCGTTGGCAGAGGTGGGGCTGTTTGGCGCATCGCCATAACCATCTCCTCTGCGTAGACCTCAGTGCTCGCCTGGGAGGCTGGATTTATGAGAACTTGGAAGTGCTCCTGTTGATGCAAGCAGTCAAGTAGACAATTGACCATCATTGGGAAGGCGAGATCATGCACATCCGGCTTCTGCTTGAGTGAGAGTAGAGCGCTCTTTGTAAGAGACAGCATTTTCGGCGATTCGGCTACTCTCGATAAATCAAAGTTCTCCGTATATTGGGGTCCCAAGAAAACCTACAAAAGTAAAACATAAGTTGAGATATTTTGAAGATATTAACAAAATCATGACTTTCCTTAAAACTATTAGAAGATTGATTCAAATACTACAATCTCATGAAGGTATTGCATATGACGAGATAGCCTGGCAGATTTCTTCAGGCCTAGCTTCACGGAAATAAACGCTAATTTGATTTCTGAGTATGTTAGGGCTTATAAAAGCTAACTTTTAAAGGGACGTCAGATGAGGGAGTTAACGCTGATAGTGAAATCATGTGAGCCTCTTCAAAGGACGATTTGAAAACTTGCTGAGAAGCAATTATACTGAATCTCATGGACCAAGTCTCATTCCTTATATGGTAATAGTTTGATGTGGAGTAAAATTGCTAATAAACAGATAAGTCATAAGTACCCTAAGAAAGAGGAATAGTCTGAGACGCCGCTCTGAGGGCTCAGTGAGGAAAGATTGTAAGGCATTCAGCATTCCGCTATGTTGAATTTCAAAAGGCGAAGGTGCCTCATTGTCAGAAACACTCTTAATTTGTTGAATAAGCAGACTGGCAAGATGCTCTAGTCCTTCAATCCAAGCAGCAGGATCATCGATCTTTTTCAGCTGAAGACTCAGAGCTTCCAACTCAGGCAAAAGATCTCGTGGGGGCGCGGAAACACCTTGCAACGGCGTTGAGTGATGGCGAAGAGCAGATTTCTTTCCAGACGCCGCAGCCTTGGAAGCTAGCGTCTCTGGTTTTGGTGTATTTGCGACAAGGGTCTGAATACGGTTGAACAGCTCTTGGCATTGTGCTTTTATCCATGAACGAAGATTGCTATCATGATAACTGGTACCCTCCATCGAAATAGGGACAGGTGATTGACTGAAGAAAAGAAGAGGAGTCAGAAACAAATAGAAATAAAGCATTGGTGGTAAATAAACGAACCTTGTAAGTGTTGGACTAACATCTACTGAAAGATCCATGTCAAGAGTTGAGTTGCTACTAGAAGTTTCAGACGATTCGTAGGATCCACTCGGGGAAGGTTCAGGCGAATCATGAATTAGTGAGTCAATGAAATGTGGCGATCTGGGAGCTGAAATCAAATAACAATTAAAGTATTTAATTGTAGTAAGCACAACGAAGACTGAGAATTATCACTGAACTGCCGACTTGGCTTCACTAGGATTAGCAAATATACACACATATTCACCACTATCCAATAGTGAGATGACAATAAACATCTGTTGACCTGAGGGTGAACCTTCAAAACAAACGCCTAAATGACTAAGCCTAATGAATATTTATGAAAAGAACAAACACGTTGGATATAAAAATGAAGAAATAGAGAAACGAGCGAGAACCATTTTTGAATCAGAGTAAGAGGACTGACTACGCTAGTTAATAATTTCAAGTAAGAAAGTCTCTTAATAGACATGCCAAAAATAACTGGATGAACATTTTCCTAAAATATCATGGCATGTATTATTTTATTTGTTCATAGTGAGACAAACTGGTTGTTAAGAAGTTAAAATTATCTTGGCTCTTCTATGTTAGGATAAAACAGACTGCTTAATACCATGGAAAACTATTCCGCTTGCGCACAGCATCCTGGGAAAAAGTAATTAGTTGCAAGAGGGATCAACAAAATAATTCAACAACCACTTCGTAAGCACTGGATATAGGGGTAACATTAATTTGGTCAGTAAGCCATATGTGAAAAATGGCATTAGAATATTGAAATACGGACCACCCATAATAATAAAGTATAACACGAATCGATACCGCAAACCAAATGAAGACTCTATAATATCTTTAAAAACTTTCAAGGAACTTTTAGATCCCTTTCCCATATGAACAAGGTATAACAAAAAGTGGCTCACCGTGTCTTCTACGCCTAGATGAGATTCTAGAAGTTTCGAGTTCTCTGACCATTGGCTCAGCATAATCCGAACTCCTGAGTTGATATGGAGTGGTCTCCTGAGCATCACCAGAGGTTGAAGGTCTACCCAAAGCAGTCACTTGTTGGTGTTCAACTATTTCTCGAGAAGAAGAGGCAACAGTTGAGTCTGCTTCCTCTCCATCTTCAGCAAGAGTTGAGAGTCTCTTGAGATGGAAAAGAACGCCCTCTTTGCGGAAGTAGACCGCAAATACATTGGGAACTCGCGTGACAAATATGTTTACCAACTGGATTCCCGCAGCAATAAGAGAGAACTCAGGATTTCCCAGCATATCAGCCACCATTGAGGATACAGCTCGTGGTGAAACAACCCAGGAAAGAACGAAAGGACTGACATTACAAACAATCCGTTGAATGCTTTCGATGCACTTGAGTCGTGAGGATATGCCATTGAGCTCCGTGTATAGATCCAGTAGCATTGGAAGGAGTAGGTGTACTGCCTTCACAACAATTATGTTCGCAGATGGTTCTTTCTCCTCAGATTTTTCCCCACCATTATTAGGCTTGAAGTTAGAGACTAGGTTTTCAAATTCTGCACACTGTTCCTCGAACAAGGCTATTTGTACGTTGGAGGAAATTGAAGGGACACTCGAACGAGTACCTCTCACTAAAGCTGGATTGGTTGGAAGGGTTAAGAGAAGACCGCTTTCTTGAACTGGGGGAAGCATAGCCCTACAAAGAAATAAAGTGCATATACCTTAGTGTGGGAAAGACAAAACACGTGATACAGTGCGATTGACCACATACTTAATAAGGTTTATAATGGCAGAGACGTTATCAGCACCACGACTCTCTAGAGTTCGCGCAATACTGTTTCGAAGCGAGGTACTACGTGGACCCCTATAAGTATTACTATACTTAGCTGTAGGCGATTGAAGGGATAGTTCTGGAGATTTTTGATCAGTCAAGAGGTTGTAGACAGTCTCCGAATAACCTAGAAAATAGAGGGATGTGTAAGTGAAAGTTTGAAGTCGTAATAGAGACGTACCCATTTTGAGAATATCGACCGCCAAGTCGGGACAATAGGTGCAAAGAGTTGCCAGCATGTTGGCAATGTCTCTCATATTGGAAACAATCGGTGGTGATGCCGCTAACTGAAAATGCAAAGATGAATATGAATGAGACACAAGAAGCTTGAAAATAGTGAGAATATTTCATTCAGTCAAAAATAATCCTTTGCGAATCAACACTCTAGGGAAACGATTCACAGAATCAGTATTTGTTCGTAAAATTTAACTCAGCTAAAGGCTATAGTCACAACCACTTTTCACACGTCCAGCGAAGTTATTGCTATCGTGTGCATTATCGCAGGGCTTATCGAACTTCAAAAGTATAATTCTCGCACACAATGTTAAAATTCTTAAAAAAAACTATTTGAATAGCCTTTGGTCTTTGTTCCATCAGAGTAAAATGCATCTTCAGTGATGCAGCTGGGAAGAAGGATAAAAGAATCAATTCAAACTCTTAATATCTAAAACATACCAAAGGATAAATGCAATAACAAGATAGTTCTGTCTGGTTAATTAATCCATTGGCTAGCTTTACTCTGTACCATCCTCATTAAAGTCAAATTATTTCTGTCGTCGAAAAAAAATTGAAGTCACTACCGAAAGGCATTCTTACTCCATCTTATTCAACCTATTACTCAGGTCTTTCATGCAGAAATTTTCAAACCTCGCCACTAACAGTCACAATAAGTAGTTATTACAGTCCCCCGACTTTACAAAGGCAACGCACAAGCAACTGCAAAACGGGATTTTGTGGATAGTTGAAACGCCTGTCCTTGAGAACGAGAGCCAATGGGAAACAAGCGCTTCAAGGAATGTATACCGTGACAACGAAATCGCAAAAATACCTAGCGAGCTACTAGTACTACTACTAATACAAGCGGTTTTATAGCTACAGAAGCCAGCTACCAATCCTGCCACAACCACAGTACAGAGAATGTACTTTAACGTAGCCATGCAGTGATGCGCGTATAACAAATGAACGAATCAACTTACCAGGTGACGCAGGTGTTCGCAGAGGCCAAACGAGGCAATGTGTCGAAGCTTCTCTGGTTCAGATTTGAAGGCATGAACAAGACGAGCGAAACAGAGGCATACACGTTCCAGACACCGGGGTTCTGTAGAACTCATAGGAGAGAGACGCTCGCAGAGACTTTGGAGACACCCAGCTATATGACCGTCGAAATCTTCTTTTCGAACATTCGAAAAACAATTAGCTACCATTGAGAGGATGGTTCGGTGTTGAGCCACGGTTACAAAGTCGTAGATCCCCATCACACTCTGAAATATATTCAAGTATCTAAGTGAAAGCAACCAATATCGGTAACAACACTGCCACACCTTAAATCGAGTAACAGACCCTCACGTTCGCCAGAAATCAGCTTAAACCCAATTCTGCAAATTTATCTTTACTTGTTTTCCTTTAGTGGGAAAAAACGGAATTCATCGATTTACGCCAAACGGAAATAATTAACACCAAGTGCTGATCGAATAGATTTATCAAACAGATCGACCAAAGTGAGATTCCCCACCAGACATTGCAGGGTAGGAAATTCGAATTTTCTCAGCACACCTAGAAAGGATTCGCAGGAACCGGTTTATCGTGTTCGTGATAGGGAATGCTAAACAATTAACAAACATTCCCTGTTTTATTTTAAGCCCTATAAGCAATTTCATTTTTTTAATAGAAATACCGACATAAAGTTATAGCTCGTTTTCCTTTTTACTTGTTTCACAAGATGAGAATCAAATAGACATCATATATGAATGGGGTAGTTTACATCAATGGCTTATAAGTGTTGGATAGAAAATAGACTTCGTTTCGTTTAAGCAAAGTAAATGGTAAAGAAATAAGTTGAACCGGTAGATAGCTAACACTCAAATGTAAAATGACAAATAAAATTACTCAATGACCTTAAGTTGCTTGTTTTAACTTGTTCCTTTTGTATAGAAAATGTTAAAGCTCAGGTTGGATTAGGGAACAACAAATCATAAACATCTAATTCATCAACACTAGTGAGACACAAAAACTAAAACATGAGTTGAAACTACTTTTTGAGTCAAGGTTACAACTCTATATGCCATAATTAAAACAATGTTCCGAAGAGTGCACAAATAAAGTCGTCTTTGTTGATTTGGCAATGCGGACTATACTATTTTGAATTATAACCTATTTGTGGATAGTAAGAAATATATTAAATGGGACCAATACGCAACAACGTGGAATTCAGGCTTAATCAACTGACTTAGAAGTGGAGTTGTGAATAAGAAGCACGAAAATCACACTAATTGTAAAAATCTCATTAAATTTGGTAAGTTAAGTGGACATCGAAACATAAATGCAGAATGTTTCAAGGTAAGATGTAACAAAAAGATTAACTAAACTTCAACAGCGACCAATAATTCACATGCCCTACATACTCCGAGGAGAATACAAGTCCGGAATCCCCTTGATGGGAAACATGCAAACCGTCACTATGGTTGGCTAGTATTAAGGGGGACAGATGGTCATTCAGTTCTATGCGCATGTAAACAACTCACAAACTCAGAGTCCCGGTGGTATGAAACACAAAATCCGCCACTTTTATTAGTCAGATTTAACTATTCCACTCACTGTGAGCGCACGGAGAGACATCAAATTCACAGACAAGCATGTTAACCTTTGTACTGATATCGAACAAGAAACTTATAAACACCGAGGCAATAGTAGTATTCAATCCGAAAAAAAATCATTTGATGTTTTAACCATCACACAATTAAAGTTTATATTTGCAGCAATAATTAAAACTTTGTAGTATACTTACGGGAACAGCACCGTGGTGGAGGACCTCACGACCATTTCGTCGGGAGACTTGTTCGAGAACATTGATAATGCGTTCGAGAATGTCTCCCACGAAACTGCATGACATGATGTCGATGAGGAGGGGCACAGCCATGACGACGGTGTCTGCAGCCTTGGGAATTACATCCATGAGATGAGCAAGAATATTACAACAGAGGTTCTTGATTTCAATTATCTCCTCCTCTGGTAAGCATGATAGAGCATTCTCTGCTGACAGAAGATCTATCACGCCCGAGACAAGTTCTTGAACTGCCAAACCTGCCAATGAGTCATCTGAACCCATTAATAGGGCCTAGATAAAAGAGGGAAAAACTTTATAGAACTTCCTATGTATATTTAAAAAATAGCAGGTTTCTCAAATGCCGAAAGAATGGAGAACAATACATAAAAACCATATTCAAGCAGGAGAAATGGACAGGATATATAAGACGTAAAGTTCAAATCAATTCAAGGGCTTCAGGGTACATTAACTAACGCTTTCAATGTCTAAATATTAGAGTGAAATCGGATTTTAAATAAACGAAAAAAATCAAGCTACCATGGCATATTTGACCCAAGCATTGAGCAAATAATAATCCAAAAGCTATGTATTTGTTAGCATGCAGATTACCCTATTGCCAAATTAACTGAGCGTGATTCAGCTCAAATGATTTCAAATCACATGAATTGTAAGTTGCCTACCTGGTTAATTTCTTGCAAAAGCTCCATTTGAGAGGAAACATCTCCTCGCACAGTTTTAAGTTGCATAATTCGGTAGTTGATGCCGGATCCCTGGATGGAGTGGTGGTGGGATTGGGACTGACTTGATGAAGATGCTCCATGAATATGAACTCCAGGATTGTTTGACGTGGAAGGAATAGGAACATTTCGGGATGAACTCTGACGGCCACTGCCTTGATTTCCCCGACGTGCTCCAGAGGAATCATGTCGACTGGATGTGGAGACGCCACCACCGCCTCGTTGATGACGGAGGTTTCTTGAGGAGGATGAACTGGGATTTTGATGAGCCGATGCTGCCATTGCAGAATATGAAAGTGAAGTGACCGGACGGGAAATGTTTTCACTGACATTGGAACTCTCTCCTGATAACTCACTCTGTGCGGGATTAGAAAAAACTGTGGCCTCTGTGATGGGTTGGTTCGGTCCTGCCCCCGGATGACCATTACCACTCCGAGCTGATTCGACTATAATAAGTAAAGATTCGATTCAACAATGGCAAAATGCCTACCCAAACTGTCATCACTAGAATCGTTGCTGATAAAATCCATCGGGGTAAAATATAATTAAGGACAACGAAAAATGACGTGAGTAAATTCGAACTGTCCGCGTAACCACAGCTGATTTCATAAACTAATAATTGGATACCTAATCAGAAATCTGATTGGACAACGACTAAGATTATTAGTCGACATAAAATTAAACAAAATTTGGAGCGTGAAATATAATTTTAGTACATTTTCTGTTATAGCACAAACGTTGAATGAAGCGAATAGCAATGAACATTGAGATGGAAGGAGGAATATATGTAGGCAAAAACCTAAGCCATACGCTCCAAATTCTGGGCATGTTAAGTTGCAATGTTTTCTCCAACTGTAACTTCATAACTAACCAGAAAAGTGCGATCACATAAAGGAACCAAACTAATGGATGACTATTTTATGATTTATCATTAGCGATGAGAGGTAATAAATGGTCACAACAACATGCGGGAAACTATTTAAAATAAGCGAAAGAATGAGTTAAGCTGCTAAATTACTTAAAATTGAGGTTAGAAGTTCAATTCTAAAGTTAAAAAAAAACATTACCTTATCAAAAGTGATACAAATGAGCTTTTTTCCGACCAACTGACTAGTGAATTCCAGCAATCCAAACGGGTCTACTGGGATACAGGGCTACGCAACAATAATGGTCGAGTTAAGAATACTTCCAATAAACGGTATCATATCGACTATTTAGAACTGAAAAGGCAGGACCAAACATTGGAAAATGGTTCAGGCAAATTTGTGAGCAGTGTATAATATTTATGAAATAGTATAAACTCAATTTAAGACTTAAAGTTATAGCAAAAACAACGTTAATTTAAACCCTCGTTGAAAAGAGTCATTACGTTATAAGCTGTCAAGCCAAAACAACCAACAGTATGGCCTTCTCAATCAGTAGCTGATTTATCGGCATACGCAAATGGTTCTCATGTATGAGTTGTTTATCACCAACCAATAGGTTACACATGGGTGATTGGCACGTACATATATCACACTAAATGCAGTCCTTTTCAATTCGTTAGGGAAGAAATGAGAATTGAGATTATAATATCAACAAAATCTGTTTACACAATGATCAAAACGATACTTCCTCTATGGTCATTCTTCTGTGAATTAGCTGAAGCTGATAAAACGAAGAGAAATCGGAACAAAAGCGAACAAAGATGGAAAGTGCTGAATATTCAGTAACTCGCCAAACCATTTAAAAATAATTTAAGGAAAAAGCAGTTATCCTAATTACAGAAACCTCTCCTTGCCGTAACCTTTTTGAGGACTCAACTTTGCCGAATGGTTTATTTAACAACTTAGCCCAACTTGACCCCTTTTACAGACGATTTAATGACTGTTCTCCGGTCAAACTGCAGTTTACAAGGATTGATGGATTGAAAATGTCTCACTCGATAAATCTGATTAATAAACATGTGGCAGAAGGCGCCTGTTCCCTCATAAAGCAAAGCATTAAGAAAATGGTCATTTGAATATAAAAATTAGACCAAATAAGAATATCCTATTCAACAGCCTCTACCATATAAAATTCATTTAATATGAACTGATAACGCTAAAACCATGGGTAAGAACTTGAATCGTGCCTATACAAATATATTCAAGAGATTTATAGTTGATCATTCTCTGAAAAGAACATAATAATAGTGCGCGTTGAGGCAAATACAAGATTATATATCTACAGTGTTTTATTGCGCTCTAATAAAGCTTTAACGACTCTCCTCAGCAGCTGCCGTGCTATGAGATTTGATAGACGGAAATACAGCAAGGGTTGTAAGAAAAGGCATGCGATTACGCAAAACATAATTACTCAGCAAAACCAACGCCTTAGACTTGCAAGAAATGGCAGGCAGACACATCTAATGCCATGAATTGGGTGATTAAATCCCACACTTTTATAGAACTTTCATTGCAACAAAGAAGTGAAACGAAATAATCAAGAACTTCACTGTCCCTTGCAACACGCTTTCAAGCAATGTGGCGGCTTCCATGAGAATATCGGGTATTAAAAACTGTCAGTATACCATTTCGATTGTTATCATTCATAATTTGCTTATGTTGCGAAAAGAGCCATTTTTAGACTTCTACCACACATGTGGAAATTCTACTCACTTAAGGAAGAATTCTTATAATGAAGACTACAGAACTGATGACTAATATGGTTCATTTCTAAGGGACTTACAAACGGCAAAACGGAAGTTAATAAAAAGTCCGCTTAGAGAGGATTTTTTGAAGGTCAAATGGACAGAGAAACGCAACGGCAATTACAGATGAAACAATACTGTCTAATCAAACTGACGTGACAATTGTGCCCCAGATGTTTCATTTAAAGTTAGTGAAAGCCATCCTTTTGGAAAAATAGCATTTTATCACCTTCAGATGATGAGGAATTGCTTTATAGTTTTAAAAAGGAACCATCCACGATGCAGAAATAAACTCAGCTAAATTAACGGTGTTAAAATGTTTTAAGGGTACCGATGACTACTCCCTATTTTGCGAATTCGAAATCTCCTTATTTTGCTCCCTACTTCCATGCGATTGATAACAAAATCACAGAATACTACTACTCTAAGGCATAAACATAAAAAGCAAGCGAATTTAAGTATCGCTGGGAAAGAACTCTATACAAATTGATTACAAATTTCAATACAAAAATTAAGGTAACCTCTATTCTTTAGACATTAAACCGAGACTTCGAAGCCAACGAAGGCTCAACTTATCGCATCAATATGAGTCTCAAGAAATGTAATCTAGCATGGGACCAATAAGACATCCAGGAATAGTTATTTGGCATACGCTTTAAGAAGTGAATATTGGGCAAATCTTGAGTAAAACGCAAAGTAACAAATGAGTGTTTAGGAACAAATAGGGCAATACAAATAGGTATAATCGTAAGGGCTAAAATTTATCCAAACGGAACAATGCAAAAAAAAGTAACAAAGTCCGAACAAATGATACGATGGCAAATATTTCCCAATTCACCGCATTCTTTGGCTCAATATATTTTGGCAGAAAAAAAAACTTGAAACTAAATAGCGTGAATTCGGTCAATTGAACAATCACCAGACAAAAAATATTTACTGAAAGATACCATAGGTAGAAACCAAGTTAGTCAATCTAGATTTACGCCTGTTAATGCAAAATTAAAAACTTGCAAAAAATAGGAGGCTCTATACCATTTAGCCAATAAGAACTTCATTAATAGCAGGACTAAAGCCAAATTTCACTTAGCTGTCCTTAAAGAATTGTCCCTTCCAAATCGGCACTCGAGGATTTGACTAGCTCACAAAGCAGCCACTCGAACCAAACCCAAATGTTAAACAGTATTTTAACTCTTCAAATGTTATTTATTTATTTATAGCAAATGGTAGGCATTTTAATAATTATCATTAGCCCTTTAGTTGACTTCAGGCTTCACAGAGAGGAGGAGGAATATCAAAGTGGAAAACAAGTCGATAGGGGGGGGGGGGGGGGGGGGGGG